TGATGATCATGATCATGATCATGAGCGCGATCATGACATCTTATTGAAAAAAATGAGGGTTGATTTAGATAGCATATAGTCTCAGCTACAACATATTCAAAAATCAACAAAATCCAAGCAGAAATAACGGCGATATTGCTCGCAAAAGACAGGAATGTAGACTCCAGATTTGAGAAAAAGTCATTTCCCATAGGGATTACACCCAGAAATTAATGGATTAAGTGAAAATAGGGTAATAATAAAGTAAAAGGGTTATTTATGACATTATTTGCGAATCTACGTGTTTAAACAATCAAAGGAGATGGTACAGTGAAGGTCAAAAGGAAAAAAAAGTGGAGCAAAAAATTGTTTGAGACACCCGGACTCGAACCAGGGATCTCGAGGTTGGAAGTCAAGTGGTTACCGATATACCAAAACATCTCCCATAGCGATTACACGTAAACGGGAATGGAATTCAGAAATCCTACTTTGCAAGTGAAATATCAGTATGATCCCGGCATCTAATCGAAAAAATAAAGGGCACACTTGTGATAGCTTATTGTCTCAGCTACAACATATCCGAAGCTCAGCGAAAACGAAGCTAAAACATCGGAGATTTTGCTCGCGAAAGACAGGAGTGTAGAATCCAGTTTTGAGAAAAAGTCATGTCCCATAGAGAATACACGCAAAATGCGAAAAATTGACATGCCTCCTTTAATCGCAAAAATACACCATGATACTTTTGTCAAAAATTAACATTGTGAATACTACATTTGTAGAAAATTGTCTCAGCTAGAACATATCAAAATTAAAAAGAAAATTGATCCATATTTACAGAGATACAATCCATTTTCCAAAAATATGCTGACGTCATAATATGCAAATTAAAATTTTGAGTTTGAAGGCCATTATGATGACGTCATGAGTTAATTGAGGATAAAATGAGACATGAAATCATATCTGCAACTCATAATCTATCCAAATATGAAAAAATATTAGGAGTTTCTATCTATCCTAAAGAGTTACAATGAATTTTATATAGGCATGTTTTTGCCCATGTATTGTGGATAAAGATAACGCAAATCCGCGCGTGCTGTCAACTTTGACGGACGCTCATTGCGTTAATAAAAGGTGAACAAATTATCAAAATGCTTGGAAAAATGTACCGAATATGATGACAGAAAAAAATCGGCGATTCTATGTTGCAAAATGCCAGTACGCGCGAAAACGCGCGCGCATGCGCGTGTGCGTAATTTTTTTTAAAATGCTCCATATGACCTGAAACGTATGCAAAAAAAATTTAAGACGATTTTGAGCAATTTAAAATTTTACGCGCGCGTTAACGCGCGCACAAACGCGTACGCGCATTTTGCGTGCATTTATTGACCTGAAATTGACCGGTCGGATATTGATCTTAATCATGATAAATATGAATGAAAAATTACTATCCGTTATGAAGATATGATCATTAGTTGATTTTCACAAAATGGCGCCTGGATGACGTCACGATGACTTTGAGTCTTTGAAAAGTCACGCAGTTCTAAGTTAGACTAAGATCTATCATCATTGAAAGTTTCATGACAATGGCTTTATTCAGTCTTGAGATATCCTGCGAACAAATTCGAGGAAGAATAATAAAAATAAACTAGACTTTAATTCGTCACTTAGACGAATTAGGTGATACGTATGATATTGGTTTACATAACAAAGAATGCATTACACGATATCATATTATTTTATAAAATGCTCTTCCCATAATGATCTATCCATATGTCAAGTTTAAATTGTGTCGATCCCTTGATCATTATGGATATAGGGAAGATAGATTGAGACAATATATGACCATTGACTCTGTGCAGTAACCAGTTACACCTTTGACTCTAATTTACATCATGAAGAACGCATTTTGACGATTTTTATCTTATTTAAAGAAATGAAAATATAATTGATAAATAAGAGCTTATGCCTGAATAATTAAAAATGTATAGTGTATGACGTCACGATGTCCGGCGTAAATGAAAAGTGTGAGAATACATTAGCGATCATTTTGAGTTGTCGACGTGAGATTCACTAGTTGCTTGAAAATAAAATCTTTAAATATCGGATGGATATATACTGTCACTGTATAAAGAATGTGGATTAGAGGGATATTGATCCGTCAGTCTTTCTTGAAGGCTTGTCAATTAAAGGAATACAAAGATTTGAATGTATTTCGCTCAAGAAATTACATACAGCATTGCCAGTAAATTT